CTATTTTCACATCCACTCAGACCTCCAGGTGGGGACAGGGACACCCACCTCCGGAAACAAGCTGTGATGGCAGCGATGCCAGCCGGATCGGGCATGCCTTCACCCTCCATCCATCTCGACCTACTGTGCAGCGTTCATGCTTCCACAGCCCTCGACTTCTCTGCTGGGTTAGATGACTCATTGCAGTGACCACGTAGAACTCAGAACAATACAATTAGGTGGGATTATTAGGGATGTTAATTGATTGCCATAAGTCAGGATCAGCAGACAGTAAGGATATAATTGTTGGTCCAGAACAACACTTTTCCTCAAGCAGTTGCCAAATCTCTCTCCGATCCTCAGCCTCTCAGCCACAGGGTCCCTTTGGCCAGTGCCTCCGTGGACCAGGAAGTCAGCCTGTCACTCAGCCTCACAGCTCCACAGTCTCCCGGCTGCCGCTCTTGCTTTGTCTCGATGCCACAGTTTCCGGGGCATCTGGCCTTCTGCTAGAGAGCTTGCACATGCTCTCCCCATGGTCCTGGCCTCTCTATTTGGGTCTGATTGCTCTTCTACACAGAGGAATGGCTTGGGTGGATGTGTGCTTTTTGTCTTTTAGTCAGACATCCCCCAAGGAAAATGAAATGGTGACTTTTTAAAAAGCTTTTTTTGCCCCCCCTTGGTTCTTTTTTTTTTTTTAATCATTTTATTGGGGGCTCGTATAACTCTTATCATAATCCATGCATACATCCATTGTGTCAAGCACATTTGTACATTTGTTGCCATCATCATTCTCAAAATATTGGCTCTCTACTTGAGCCCTTGGTATCAGCTCATTTTCCCCCTCCCCTTTCCCCCCCCCCCCCCGCGCTCTTGATAATTTATAAATGATTATTTTGTCATGTCTTACATTGTCCAACGTCATTGTGATGGGTCCACCCTTTCTACCCCACCTTCCCTCTACCCTCCTGGTATTGCCACTCTCACCACTGGTCCTGAAGGGTTCATCTGTCCTGGATTCCCTGTGTCTCTAGTTCCTATCTGTACCAGTGTACATCCTCTGGTCTAGCCAGATTTGTAAGGTAGAATTGGGATCATAATGGTGGTGGGGAGGAAGCATTTAAGAACTAGAAGAAAGTTGTGTGTTTCCTCGTTGCTACACTGCACCCTGCCTGGCTCTGTGAATTGAGTAAGGAGCACGTTAGCTCCCTGGCATCATTGTTCCCCTTATATGGCTGTCTATTGTTTGAGAATTGAGCGATGGGGGTGAGGGCCACTGTCTGGGAGTTCCTACTATCTCTATTCCTTCTCTTAAAAGGTATTTTGAGTTCTGTTCTGTATTTTTCTCCCATTCGACCCAAGACATTCTAATGTGACCCCTTGCAAAGCTGTAGGTAGTGGTGCTGGGCACCATCTAGTGCTTTTGATTTCAGGGATGGCTGAGGTTCATGTGGTTCACTAGTCCATTGGACTAATTGTTTCCAGGTGCCTTTAATTTTCTTCATTCTTCTTTGTTCTGGATGGGGAAAGACCAGTCGTTGCATCTAGGATGATGTCTTAAGTCACGCCCTCTAGTAAAGTAATCCTAAAAAAACATCCCATCCTCATCCTGTAACAGTGACCACCCACCAGAATGAGTTAATAGTCACAGGCATAGAGTCCAGACTTATGAAACATCACATAAGGGATTATAGCTAGAAGGGCATATTAATGAATCACATCACACAGAGAGACCTCTCTGAGCTCAGTTTTGTCCACCTTCAAGTGTGGCCGATGGACAGGGTCTTTCCGGTTGGTGCTGAGTGGCTCTGACACTTGGTGACCTGGTCTGTGTCAGGAGAACTGTGCTCCACTGGGTTTTCAAGGACAGATTCTCCAGAAGTAGATCATCAGGCCTTTCTGAGGGGCCTGTGGGGGGACGCAAACCTCCAGCCTTTCACTTAGCAGCCAAGTGCATTAGCCATTTGCAACACCCAGGGACTCCAAACGGGATCACAGGGGGTAATAATAAAGAAGGTCATAGGACAGATCACTAAATAACATGATAGGGTAGTTAGAGGCATTACATGAAATAATAGGCAAAGATACCTCTCACTGAGAACTGCCAAGTTAAAACAAGGACCTTAAGGGTAATGTAACCAAGAGGGATTGCTGAAACCCAAATGAAGACTGAGCATGATAGTGGCACAAGAGGAAAGTCAAAGGAAATAGAGGAAAGAGCTAGGAGGCAAAGGGCATTTATAGAGGTCTAGATAAAGACACGTACCTATCCAAATATATTAATATATGAGGATGGGGAAATAGATCTATGAGCATATATTAATAGGTTTAGTATTAAGGCAGCAGAAGGACATTG